GATAGATATGCGGAGCAAATCCATCTGGAGGAGTCAGGTTACTGAAGATGTCTTTCAGTCATCAATGCTCACATTCAGCGACACACAGGAGCTCTTTCAAGCTGGGCACCGTTTCATTCACAACACCTGTCCCATCAACCAGGAATCAGAAATACTTTAATAATCCCAGGGAGGGATTACTCTAGTTACATTACTCCATCTGTAATAGAGTGACTATAGGACCAGTTTGATAGAACACTATTTCATCCATCTCACCATCAGTTTGGGGTCCTTGGCCTGGAAAACGTTGAAGACCTCTGATCTAAAGTAAAACATCTGCTTGATTATAAAGCGCAGCATATCCTCTACAATTCATTAGTTCCCCCAAACATTAATTATTGCATATATCTTTGGGGTAATACATAAAAAAGTAATCTAGATTTACTTATTAAACTCCATAAAAAAGCTTTATGAATCATTCGTCATCGTTCTAATGCACTTTTCTTAAAATCTCACCATGAAAATCCAAGAGTTAATTGAATTTTCCTGTAGCATACAAAGCAAGCTGGGATCTACTCCCTGGCAAAACACAAAAAATGTTCACCAGTAGAGAAGAGAATTATAATTTCAGAGGAGAATTTGAATTTAGAAGATGTGGCGTTTGCACCACACTTCGGTCCGGGGCTCAGCCAAGCTGGAGTTATTGTAGAATGGTTTAGATAAGGAGAACCACACTTAGAAAATTTAAAAGCATGTATAAATATGTTATTTTAAGAAATATGCATGTGGCCCAAACATTTAAATGTGATAATTTGCAACATTTAAATATCTACTACTAGATATCTTCTTTCTTCTGTTGGTTTAACTGCACAGAAACATGCAGCTTTAAAGATTTGAAACCAGATATTAACCTCCTGCTCCTCCTCTAAGGCAATGAAAGGTTTTATTCTTTTTAAACGTTTAAATGTTTAATCATTTAAACTGATCAAATATGTTGAAGATCCAGTTTTAGATAAAGTCCCCCCCCATAGCTTCCTGTCAACAATGATTAAATCTCATGTTTCTCTCAAACTAGGTCACCTTAATACATGGTAAACAAATTTCGAAACTTCAAGGTTTTAGCAGAATCTTAAAAAAATGGAAAAAAAAAACAAGAAAAAATATAGTTTATATCCTAAAAATGTTCTCCGTAAATCCAGAATCAGCTCCAGAATCCAACTGAGCGCGTGCAGAATGAGCGTCAGCTTAGATTTACAGTGTTTTTTTATTTTATTTTATAAACAGGTTGGTTTAAAGGAAAAGTCCGATCAGCAGGAATAATCAATGGATCATTATTTATAACCAAGCAAATAAATTCACGGTGATTTATTGAATTAGCGTTAATCAGCAAAAAATAAATCAGTCATGATCACCGAGTCTGGGAGCGGCCATTTTTACCCAA